GCCGTGGGAGACAGCACAAAAGTTTTTTTCCCCCGGGGCCTCCCTTCCCCCGTCCGGTTCTTTTCCGCGGGACCCCGCCCCCCCCCCCCGTCCCCGTCCCAGACAAACCCACGGCTGCTGCCACCGCCTCAGCAGCAGCCCGTCTTTTTCTTCGAGGCTTGTGCGTTGAGGTTAACGTTGCCCGCGGCACGAGAGCCCGGGTTGGGGCCGTCCGCCATGAGCCTGTCCTTCACCTCCCTCGCTATGGTGATGAACCCCTTCTCGACGTTGATATCGTTCTTCGCACTAGTCTCGAAGAACTGGATACCGTACTCGGCTGCCAGCTGCGCCCCTTCCTCCCTGCTCACCTGCACCAATGAAAAGGGCGGGGTAACGGAATTCATGGAAGGCCGGGGCAACAGAGTCCACAGGAGCACACGGTCAGAGTGGCGTTTCTCCACCAACGCACCGGGCGGAACGGACAACCAAGCCGTGCACCGAGCCTAAGCCGAAAAGTCACAGCAGGCGAGCACGGTACAGCCCGCAGTCGCCTCCCGCGTGCAGTGCGCTTGAAACGACGACAGCTTGTGGAACTTGACGCGCATCAGCAAGTAAGGGCCACGACTGCTATCGTTGTGTCCTTCAGCACGAACTCGCGAAACCCTCGCCAAAACAAGCAGCACGTATGCAGTCAACATGCTTCAGCCCGGACAGTAAAGCCGATATGTAGGCAGGCGAGCGGGCGTTCAGGAAAAAAAGCAATCTTTGCTTCGTCGAAACATCACAAACCCGACCCACGAACGTATTGTACGATCGGCAGTGCAGGTGAAAAAAGAACCTGCTCAAAATAAAATAGGACAAAAACCACCCGGGAGTAACAGGACAACTACACATAGGCAACACCGCAACGCAAACAAACGCGTCCACATGAAAACTGGACATAGCACCTCATGACTTGCTTCAAGGTGGTGACTTTCAGAAAAATTCTGCGAAAGCATCATCCTCAACCGAGTTATTCGGCGCTTCTGATAAGAGAGAGGGTGGTAGTCCATGGAGATACGAGTGTGCCAATAGGGGTACTGCTATAGCATCATTCACAGCACCACATCGGAGACGTCGGGCCTCACCTCCCGGTCCTCATCCATGTCGCACTTGTTGCCGATCAAAATCTTGTTTACGGCAACGTCCGCATGCTGCGGTAGAGCAATCGCAGGGTAACGGCAGGGAAGCGGAAAGGAACGGACAAGCCGCAAAATGTTGGAGTTGTGCGCCAAGAAGCCGAAAACAGGACGCGGAACGAGAGTTGCTGATGGTCACGGACGACGGTAGATGGTGGCGAAAGTCAGCAACAAACAGGCAGCAGCAGCAGCAGCAGTGTGTGCAATGCCAAAACCTTTGAGAAAGAAAATACGAAAGTTGGCGCTCCGCTGCCCCATGTCGCCGCGCACCCCCCCTCCGTAGATACCGAACCCCCGTCCAATCACGTAGGGCCATGCCACGAGAGAAGAGCGTTCTTGTCCGGTATAGCCCTAGCCCCCTCGACTACTCGTATCCTGCACGCAAGGCTCACCCGGCCTGACTCCCGCCCAGCCATCCCGATCCCGCTTCCCAATACGCTTTGCCACGCCGTACAGTACCCTTCACGCCTGACGGCGTGCCCTTTGTGATTTTTGCGTTTTCATCCCGCTGTTAGACTGACGTCATATACTCAATGGTCAGCCTGCTACGACGCTAATTCAAAAGCAAAATTCACACCGCCGCCGTGGCATGCCACACGTCCCACGTAATGAGTCACTCACTAAATAACACCTGTTGTGTTCGTCCACCCTTGACGGCGTCATCCACGACAACCACACCGCAAGAGCTCACACCAACCCCCGCACACACCACCGCGGACAGCTCTGTACATTCCGAGTGCGCTGGGATGGGCCAACAAAAACGGCCAGGGCGCGCTCCAAGCACGCAACACTGGAAAGGTACGCCAGTCACCAACCAATAATATACCTCCGCGGTTCCACCTCCCAAGCACACACCACCCGTCACACGCCACGTTATTCCGCGTTGCACCAAGTCTTCCACGGTCATTTTTCAAATGAAACCCTCACCAAGGATCCCACAGTTATTTTCCCATGAAACCCTCACCTGCTGGATTTGCGCGACCCAGTTCCGGATGGAGTTGAAGGACTTCTTGTCCGTCACGTCGTAAACCAGAAGGATTCCCTGTGCACCTCTGAAGTAGGAGGTGGTGATGGTGCGAAAGCGCTCCTGCCCCGCCGTGTCCCAGATTTGCAGCTTGATTCGCTTCGAGTCGCTGGGTGGCATGAGAGAGAGAGAGAGAGAGAGAGAGAGAGAGAGAGAGAAGGTGCGGGGAGGGGGGAGAGAGGGGAGGGGGGTATAGTGACAAGTCAGATACAGGGGGCTGGGGGTGACGATCGTACGATGTGATATCATACTGCTGGGAGACAAGTCCCGCCGTTACAACGCGAGATGCCGCGAGCGCAAAAGCATAGCCATAAAGAGTCAGAGGAAACAGGACCAGATGGCTCCACGGCCTAGTAAAACAAAACACTAAAAAACAGACCGCCTTTGCCTCCTACGCGTAGGTATTTTTTCGCGCAAGCGCGTTGACAAACACACCGCCGCAAAAATGCGGAGCCACGGCCGTCCAGCGAGGGACGGGGACAAAAAACTGACCAATTAACTAATCACCACTCACAGGTCGATGTTTTTGATCTTGAAGTCGATGCCAATTGTGGTGATGAACGTCTGAGAGAATGAGTCGTTCGCATAGCGCAGCAACAGGCACGTCTTGCCCACGCCTAACGGCAAGCAAGGGTGGCAAGTCGGGGGCAGGGGGGCAGGGGCGCAGGGGGGGGGTTAATTGATGCCACCAGCGGGAATTTTCAGTCTGGCGGATAGTACAGCTTGGTCGACACCAGCGGAGCAGCAGTTGGTGAAATCGTACCTTTTTTTTTCCCCCACTAGGCCAGGAGCGGAAGCGAAAGAAAAGCTCACTTTGCAAGAAAAAGCTCGCTTACGCCGGGATTCGAACCCCTGACCTGACCTCTAGAAAAGTTCCAAAGGAAACAACTAGACCACCGGAGCGACGTTGGGTTAAGCAAACATGCACGTAGCCATACGAGAGTGAGCGGGCCAATTCCCAGCAAATCTGGTGTATTGTCATACATACATCGGCATATATTTCGGACGGAGCCTCGTTCCAAAAGCTGCACCTAGTAGGCAAAGCACTTCAAATCAAGGCATCCATCGGATCAGGTTGCCTTCCCCCTTGTTTCGTGCCGAGAGTACAAGGTATACAGCAGTAGTTTTAGTTTAGGAAACCCAAAGATTTAGGCGGTTCCTTGGTTCTCCGAGAGAAGATCGGAACCTCTTGGCCTGCTTGTAAGACAACTCGCTCGGTGTTACACGGACCAACGGACTACCGCAGTAGGGGGCGTGTGCTAACGTCCATTCTCTGGACAGGGAACAGGGAACAGGGAACTCGGAATTATTGCCTGATCAGTCAGCCGCACAAAAAAACTTTCCTGGAAACAAGAAATGCCACACACGTTCCCTGCTGTTTGAGGTAGCTACGCCGCACCATTAGCCAGCAGATCGTAGGGAACGTGGAACACGGGCTCTTCGATGGCAATTCAGGACGTGGTGGGACGCGTGTGATCACTCTCGGGCATGCGGCTGCCACAGGTGCTGCATGCTACCGGTTCAAGCCGTGTAGGCATTGCCACCATAATCAGATGTCTCGCATGCAAAAAAACGGCGGTGGATGCTCGTGTAGCCGTTGTATGGGGGAACATGAAGTGTCAAAGAAACGGCAAGCTGCGGTGGACCACAACTCAAAAAGGATTGCCTTTCAGAGCACTGTCGATGGTGCGGATTGCATGACGAGCACCGCCTATTCTAGCCGATACGTAGCACATGTGTTTGATGTGCGCTCGTCAACAGCTCCCTTCAAAACTACACCACCCCCCCCTCCCTCCTCTACCGTCTACAGGTACCTCCCACTCCTCTTTGTGCATCTAATGGTTGTATCTGTTGCCTTCGAGTACCTGCGGGCCCCAAGCGCGCACTGAAACGTTCCGTGTTCCTGGAAATGTGGTGTATGTTGGGACACAACCACACGGAACAGGGAACACGGAATTCCGAGTTCCCTGTTCCCGTTCCCTATCCAACAAAGGGACGTTCATAGTACAAGCCCTCTCAGTTTTAAATGTCTCTGTTCTGGACAGGGAACAGGGAATAAGGACGACAGGGAACTCGGACATTATTGATCTGATAGGCCAGCAGCACACACAAGTATCTTTCCTGGGGAAACAAGAATTGACACACACACATTCCCTGTTTTAAGGTAGTTCCACCGCACCATAAGCCACACAAAGATAACTTTCCTGGAAACAAGAATTGACACACGTTCCCTGTTTCAAGGGTAGTTACGCCGCACCATAATTTTAATTGCGCCGCGGGTATTAAAATTAGCCAACAGACCACAGGGAACGTGGAACATGGAACATGGGCTCTTCGGTGGCAATTCAGGGCGTGGTGGGGTGTCACTTGTCACTCTCGGGCATGTGGCAGCCACAGGTGCTGTCAAGCCGTATAGGCATTCCCAGCATCATCAGGTGTCTTGCATGCAAAAAAGCGGCGGAGAATGCTCGTGTAGCCGTGGTATGGGGGGGGGGGACAGAAGTTGTCGAAGAATGGCAAGCTGCCGATGACCACAACTCAAAAAGGATTGCCTTTCAGAGCACTGTCGAGGGTGCGGATTGCATGACGAGCACCGCCTTTTCTAGCCGATACCTAGCACATGTGCTTGATGTGCGCTCGTCAACAGCTCCCTTCAAACACTACACCACTCCTCCTTCCTCTACCCCCCACTCGTCTTTCTGCATCCAATGGTTGTGTTTTTTGCCTTGGAGTGCCTGCGGGCCGCGCTCGCTCGCTGAACTGTTCCGTGTTCCCTGGAGATATGGTGTATGTTAGGACACAACCACACGGAACAGGGAACACGGAATTCCGAGTTCCCTGTGTTCCCTGTCCAGCAAAGGGACGTTCATAGTGCACGCCCTCTCAGTCCCAACACTCAATATTATTCTCACCTACAATGAAATAAATACGCCAGATAACACAAACATACGTGAACACCAACGAGAGCAACATACACAGGAAGCTTTGTTGGGGGAGGGGGGAGGGGGTGTACTCATCCTCATAGTCCTGCATGCCGCAGTCGTTAGACCATTGGCCTCGCATCTCTACAAAGCCGGGACGAAGCACGCCGGGTTTATCACCGGACCAGGCTCTCACATCACCAAGCGCGAAGCGACGTGAGGTATTCCGCGAGTCAAGGGTATTCGGCATCTTGTGCGTACTTCCTTGCGTACGGATGACTTCTGCGCATCACTTCATTTATTGTCTGGTGCTTTCACTTCCAGAGACCGTTATGAGCACTGTGTAACTGCCTCGAGGGTGCTTGACCAATTTTAACACGACGTGGTGCGATCATCCCTTTTGCGCGGAGTGAGGGTTCTCAACCCCGGACAACATAAACTACTCGACCACCATCAGGTTACAACCGCGAATATAACACCATCGCGAATAAAAAAAGCGGTAACCTGGTCAGGGGGAGGGGGGGGGGTGGAACGAGCAACGGCCCTCCACGCGCCGTAGATTCCTTTTCACACGCCGGAGTAGCGCGTAAAGCAACAGCAGACAAGACGACTCACCGCTGTCTCCGATCATAAGCAGCTTGATTTGCATATCGAACGGGCTCTCATTTCGGGACATCTTCGCGAGAGCGCCTGCTGTGTGCCCCCCCCCCTAGCTAAGGCTGGCCTCCAACCGCTAGTGTTCACCCTTTTCTCCTGCTGTCGACAATAAAAGTGAGAACGTCGTTAAGCGTGCGGTACGGTACGGGTATTCTATGTACAACACATTGTTGCTGGTTCGGAAGGTGCCGTGTGCCCACAACACGAAAAGGCCCTGCTGGAGAACATACGTTACGGTCGTGATGATGCAGCCCTGCGCGTCAACTCGATAGACACAAGCTCGAGACCTATGTAGTGATACGTCACGAAAAGAAGTCTCGGACGGGGAGGGAAGCCGACAGAGGAATGTCCTCACGAGGAGTAAACCCATAGCGGTGCTGCCCGTGACCAGAAGGTATCGCTGCCAACAGAGGACGGGGTATGTACAAGTAGAGAGGTTTTGTTGTGGTAGCTGCCCGCCCGCGGAGAGAAGAATGGTTGTTGCACGCGACACCGCGAAGAATACAACGTGAATTCTCTACCCACCCTGTTTTCAACTTCTCCCTACGCCTTCGGACACGACTGCTGTACGTGCTAGAGGTAGAAGCTTCGCAACAGCAGAGAGACAGCAGCGCGTCGTGGCCGAAATTGAACCTTTTCGAGCAAACGCTTCACTCGGTGTCGCGCGGTTCGCAAAACTTTTCGACACACACACAAGAGGCCATGACACCACACCGGATCGAAGACTGACCTCTCTCTCTGAAGTTCCACTTTCTCAAAGCTCCCTCTGGGCGGTTGTCTCTCCGTCCTGCCTTTTTTGCAGCTGTGTGCACCTCCCCTTCGTTTCCTTGGCTTGTTGCTCTGTCTGTTGTCTGGCCTGCCGTTCTCTTTCTTCTCTCTGTTCTGCTTCGCTTGCGCCCGCGCGCCCGCCATATCGGGGGGACGCGCAGAAGATAACTAGCGGGTGGGTATCTTCTTTTGACCCCCGCCAGAGTGGTGTCCCTCCCTGGCCTGGCCTGGCCACATGTGTACAACAACCCGTTGCGAAGAACAGCTTGTTTCGTCGGTCCATCTCTCTCTCTTCTCTCAATACGACGCATTGCAATCGGTGTTCCTCTCCCGTCCTGGATACCCTGATACCCGGTGTACATTCGTTCTGTCAATTTGTGCAATAACATCAAGAACATCAAGAATCCCTGACTCCCTGATATCTCTCCGAGACCGAAGAGGAATGTATCGCACCGCGCTTGCTTGTAAAATTCGCGGGATGAATTGATGAAATGATGAATGAGTCATGTGAGAGTTATGCTTTTTACAGCAACGTGTCCGTTTCTAGCTGCCACCCGCGCGCCCTTTCTTTCCGCAGAACAAAGACCGAACGAACGGAGGGTTCACGAATCCCCCATCATCACAGCTGTGAAAGTACACTTCTTCTTCTCCACTACTGTATACAGCAGTACAAGCACAGTCTACTGCTGCAGGTAATTCTAGAACACATTTATTTTGCGCTCTCGCGACGTCTTCCGAACTCGAGGGCAACGGCTACGACCACGTTCATTAGCATCCTCGTTTCTTTGCCCCCGGCCCAGACAGAGGCCCGGAGCTAGAGACCAACACGCAAGTTACGCGGTGAGTTCAAACGGCACGCGCAAGATTCCCCGCAGCAGATGGAGGTTATTGATTGTTGATCAATCCAATCAAAAACCCTCTCACGGAACTCCTCCCTACCATACGCATATCTTTCCCGGAAGATGACCCACACTTTTTGGCCGCTATGTGAGACGACGACGTGTCTACAGCAGCACCAACTCTCTCCTTCTTGGTGTGCATCTTTCAAATGCTCGTGGCGTGGTCTCACTCCTTCCTGCCATCCCTCGCGATATTAATCCTCTGCGGGTGGCCAGGAGGCCTGCTGCTGACACCATCTGCTGCTACGGCCTTCTTCCTGTCGCCGGCCGCCCGATTGAGGGTCCCAGGAGGAAGAGTAGCAACGCCAACGTCGTCGTGGCATCGGCGATCGATGCTCAAGAGCACCACCACCACAAACCTTCCTACGAATAGCAGCAGCAGCGGCAGCGGCGCAGTGATGGCGGCAACCACCAGCAACAAGACTACCGGTACTCCTGCCTTCAGACTACCTCCTGGTACGACGTTCTACCGCCGAGAGCTCAAGCCACCGTGCGTGGCCTTCAGGTGATGATGATGATGAATCGCGGACAAGCTCTCCGCAGCTGCAACTGCAGGCGGCGCAATGTTCGCACTGCTGCGGTGTGGATGATACATACAAGAAACCTTGTGTGTTGCCGTGGCGCTGCCGAGCAAGCGCGATCCCGTGATCGGCGGAGACCTGCACGTTACACCAACTTCAACCGGCATAGACATTCGGCGGTACACAGCAGTAGGTCTCGAGAGTTATGCTACGCTACACTCCTGTACTCCGGCGTGGTCCGCGTTAGATGGAGAGAGGCTTGGGGAACAATCGCGGTTGTACAGCAACACCCTTACAAGTCTGCTGCTGCTGCTGCTGCTGCTGCTGTACCCACGTAATGCTGGTCTCAAGCCCTCTGCTTCCTTCTCCCATACCCTGCCCGCCGACTCCTCTCAGCTCCGAAGATGGCCGACAGCTGTTTCGCGAAGCCCTGGCGGCAGGCAATATGGAAAACTACTTTCGCCTGGCGGAGCAGTTCCGGACTCAGGAGGAGGTGACGTTCTGCGGGCTGTCGACTCTCACCATGGTTCTGAACGCTCTTGCCGTGGACCCTGGTCGAGTCTGGAAAGGTGTGTCGACTCGACTATGCCGTCTGTCAAACAAACATCGATTGCCGACTCAGAAAGCCGAATTGCGGCGTAAGATAGAAAGAAGTGCACGAGGAACACACACGGCGGGTCGAAAGGCCTCTTTCTCTGCCTCTCTCTGCAAGATATTAGGAAACATAAATACAAACGCAGAAAGACTACCCATTCGAGATAAGACCACCGTCGAACGGGATGTGTTGAAAGCCAACGATATTGGTGAATGAAGTGGTTATCGAGCGCGGGGCCACTTGACGAGTTGGAACAGAGCCAAAATCAGAGCAAAGATATCGCGGCTACATACATGAGTGTACGCAGATACAGCAGAATATTGTCGTGTCGTTGATGCTGCTGTGTCGAGACACTTGGGGCAGATCCCTATATCTCGATCTCTGTCTGTCTGTCTGTCTCTCTCTCTCTCTCTCTCTCTCTCTGTGTGTGTTTGCCCGTGCTGGATGCACATTGGTGACGAAGTGGACACGATTCTGATGTTGCTGTTGCTTCATGCTCCGCCACAGCTTCGTCGTCGTCGACCTTTACTTGGCGTGCTAGTCCATACTCCTTTCTTCTGCCTCATTTAACGCTCGGGAACAACCATCTATCATTCTCCGCTCGCTCGTGCATCAACTGCTACTCCGATGGTACTCTTTGCTTGATACTGCACCCACGCAGTCAGCACTCCCGCCTTGCGTCCACCTCTCGAAGTAGCGATACCCGGAGGTTCTGTTAGAAGCGAGTGCAACTTGTGCCAACCATGGGGAGGGGAGGGGAGCTGTAGCGCAAGCCCTACGTACACTGCTGCTGTTTGGCCTTCATTTTTTCATTATTATTTTCATAGTGTGACACATTTTGCCCGCGCGGTGCATCCGCGGCGGCGACCCAAACGGTGGCAGCGAAAACTATGTTTCATCTTTTGACAACATTCGGCGTTAAGGCTGCTGAGACGAAGGCAAGGAGAGACAGCTACCTTCTCCCTTTCCTGAGAAGGGAATGTACAGATCATCCAGCAGTGTGAAGCAGTTGAACGTAAACTTGCAGGTTGAGCTAGCTGCGAACGCGACGCCCTTTCCCCGCCCCACCGCCGACCCCCTAACCGGAAGAACTTTCAACCGATATGTAAGCACATGGATAATTAGTGCACAGCTGGTGGTGAGAGGAGGATATACACGTAGCACTAGAGATATATGGCCACCACGTTCCGCCGCTTCAACGTGATTTGGCGCTTTCCCTGCTGCGTGAGTTCAAGGTAGAGAGAGCTAAACAGCCGTGTGCCTCGCAGCTACTGAGAGAGTTCCAACAGTTTTACGCTCACCGAAAGGATGGAACGAAACCGGTTTAAGCAAGCGATTGTTCAAACTGGATACCCTCTCTTGTACCCCCCCCCCCCACGGTGGACTCTCATTGGTGGATGTACCTTATTACAGCCAGTAGAGCTTACGGGTTGGTCGAAGTCGGTGGTCTCCGTGATGTCGGATTATGTACGATTTCTCGGAACTTTCCAGCTCGTGCAGCGACCTAGCTTTTACCCCCCTTTGCACCACGGTATAGGCTTGCACGTACAGCAGTGACCTAGCACGTACCCCCTATTGCGCCGCGGCTTAGGCCTAGACACACAGCAATCTAGCATTGCACCTGTCACGCCCCGCGGCGTTTGGCCTACTTGGACAGCAACCTGTAGCGTTTCGCCATTTTTGCGCCGTGACATACACTCACACTTACAGCAGCCTAGCGCTAACCCCCTCGTGCGCCGCCGCTTAGGCTTACACGTACATCGACCTAGCGCTTACCAATGTACTGGTGTAGCTTTTGGGTCGGGTTTTTGGGGTTAGTGAGAAGGCTATAGATTCGGAACGCTTCAAAAGGAAACTAAAGCAGCCCCGGATCGGACCAATAATCAGTAGTTCGAAAGGACGCGTTGTATCGATCGGGTTTTCAAACAGCACGTGTCCACGGGAAGATTCCCGTCAATCATTCCTTTCGACTAAGTCGTGACCAACCCTTACGGGGGCTCGAAGGTCGCCGGGTGTCCAATACAGCAGTTCCGGCGATATCGCGTGAGACAGACGGAACCATGAGGGCGAGAAGCGCGCACCTTGTGTTTTGTTTTATGGGCAACTGCGGCAACTGCGGCAGCTTGGGCTCCGACACAACACTATTTCGAGATTTTGTGACACGGTCGTGTGAACGGAACAAAGAGCACCAAGACCACCTGTGTTCCAGGAGGGGTCGAGGAGACTCTTGACGTCTCTAGCCGAAGGCTGGCACAAAAGGAAAAATCCCCGGCCTGCTAGAGAAGAAGGGCCGATACCGTGCACGTAGTGTTTCCTACTCTCCCAGGTCTAGACCGTGTTAACTGGGAACTGCTGTGAGGTCTGTGGGTACAGCAGTAGCGCATCAAACCACCTGTAGAGCAGTCTCTCTGGCATATGAAAACAACATCTCAATTCAAGGCAGGGGGCCTTTCACGCGCGATTTTTTGTTCTGCTCGCGTGCGTGGGTGCGTATTACGTGCTCTTGGTGGTTGCGAGGCGACACTTCCGTGTCGCTTTTGTCCTTGGTTGGTGCACCCGGTCCTCTCGTGAACCCCTCGACGACACAACACAAACAACACAACCATGACCGCAAAATAACACCGCGAAAAATCATAGGCCCTTGGCGGTGGTACCACGAGTCAATGCTCGACTGCTGTGCCCCCCTGGAGACGGTGAAGGACCAGGGGATAACGCTGTCTACAATGGCCTGCCTCGCTCGGTGCAATGGCCTCGCCGTGGACGTGGCTCGGACGGACACAGTGAGCGATCGATCGCTTGCTCCCAACAACTATTTTTCTTCTTTGCGGTTAGGTTATCTAAGTTGACGCGAAAATAATGACTCTCGATCCTACCTCTTTTCTTCTTACGACGTCTTGTTTTATCGGTAGCAAGAGTCTGTGTACGGGAAAGTTGACGGTTGGTTGCCTTGGTGGTTGTTGGCTTGCTCTCGTCCCGTGCACGTCGCTACGCGTTCGGTCTTACCACAAAAGTACCACGGCTAAGTACGAATGGACGTCTTGTTGTTTGGTCAGGCCTGCCGAACAGCATGGAGGCATTGCGAAAAGAGTGCAAGAGCCAACCGGTAGACCACCACCGTTTGCAAGACACTCCCCCTTTGGTAAAATCAAACGCCGTGGTTATTGTATCGAGAGTTGAGCTTCGCTACGAACGTCTGACACACGTTCATCAACACCGCCCGTCCTTCCGGGTTGAAGAATCCGACGCCATTCCTGCCCCCCCCCTCCCCCCCTCAATCACTGCGGGGCCCTTCCTCGTATGAAACGACGGTGCATGTTCGAGCTCGCAATCTGCATTCAACATCGTACCAGGATCTTGACTCCCCTCGTCATTCGTTTTCCGCCGTGTATATGTATGCGTATCTTGTCACCCGGTGACAGCCACAAAAAAGAAAAAGAAAACACGCACACGCTATGCCGCCCCCTCACGGGGTCCCAGTTAATGGCATTTAGAAATGTTTTGTGTTTTCAACCGCACTAAGACTGACGTCTTTTCATTGGTCAGCCGGTTAGCGCGGTCGATGCTAACATTAGAAATACACACACAAAAACACACACACACCAGCACACCCTCGAAGATCTCCGAGCGGTCATCGAGGAGTGCAGCTCAGCGGATGCGGGGAGGGTGGTGGTGGTTTCGTACGACCGGCGGGGGCTGAAGCAGACAGGCTCGGGACACTTCAGTCCCATCGGCGGCTATCACAAGTGAGTCTTAGCAGCTATCACAAGTGAGTCTTAAGCGGCTATCACAAGTGGGTCTTAGCGACTATCACAAGTGAGTCTTAGCGGCTATCACAAGTGAGTCTTAGCGGCTATCACAAGTGGGTCTTAGCGGCTATCACAAGTGAGTCGTAGCAGCGGCCCACGCTTAGCAAACGTCCAGCCCACGCGTGCGTGTGCGTTGGTAGTATGTGTACCATGTGTTCGTGGTGTTTAGTTTAGCTTAGTACAGTCGTAGCCCCTCCATAAGGCGCGGGGATGCGCCACACTCGCCCACCCCGCCCTATTGCAAGCAAGCACCCGCCCCTATTCAATGCGTCTTGAGTAATCCATCGGTGTCAGCCAGTTTCACTCTCACTGTCGCGAGCATCCGCCTTATATAACCCGCATTTTATGTAAGAGGGCTTACGACTACTGTCGCGGTATGTGGATGTAAAAGTGTGCCATGTGTTTGTGGTGTATTGAAAAGAAGCATCCGTGTGTGTGTGTATATGCTGGTTGTACCACGTGCTTGTGGTGTTCAGCAGGGACGGAGGGGCCTCCTGCGTCGCGTACGTGAGTGAGTGTTTGTGTGCGACATTTGGTGCGTACAGCGGCGACGAGCTATCCTGCGTACATGCCGCCAAGACCAGGCGTGGACCCATGTCTCGGGCACCGTCGTGCCGGTCATGGCGCCGGCGGAGTAGTAGTCGTGGCAGGACGTTTTTGACGTTTTTGACGATTGAGTTTCACTCTCTTTCTCTCTGGAGAGAGGAAGTTGTCGGTAACTCGGTCGAATAGGTTGTGACTTACGGACCAATGTTTAAGTTCTGGACATGTGGCATGCTTTCGATGTTTCGAATAAAGTTTAGTTTTGCTACCTACTGGTATCGTCGACGGCGGGGGGGAACCTCCGACACTTTTTTTTTTTTTGTCACAAGCCAAGCCAGGCCCACCCCCCAAGAAGGAAGCTCTGTAGCTCATCATCCTCGCGTACCTGACGAGGTGTGTGGCTTCTTGCTGTGGCATCGTGTGATCTGAAGCTTGGGTGCCGTTGCACGTGGCACTTGTCGTTGATGCCAACTTCTTCTTGTGCTGCTGCTGCTGCTGCTGCTGCTGCTGCTGCTGCCTTTTGTCGACGTGGTCCGCAGGGAGAAAGACCTCGTGCTCATCATGGACACCGCCCGCTTCAAGCTTCCCCCTCACTGGGCACCGCTGCCGATACTGTGGGAAGCGGTACGGTTTTTGTAGGGTCGTCGTCGTAGTCGCTTTGCAGAAAGTAGACACATCTCACAGAAAGACTACGCGTTCGAGATAACCACAAGACGGTCGAAAGGGATGTGGTGAAGTCTTTATAGCAGTGAGTGGAGGGGAACCGGCTGGAAATTGGGCTTGTTTTGAGTTTGTTTATGCCTTTACACTGAATTGTATCAGTGATGCCAGCTGGTATGTATGTGTGTTTTCGTCCTGTTTATTTTTGGCGACATTCCCCCCATTTATCGTGGTGAGATGAGAATTGCACTTTTCAGTGTATGTAGAGTACTAAACTTTTCATTGTATTTTTTCGTACAACTACAACCACCTAGGGTCACACAGGAGGGGGGAAACACGAGGGCTTTCCCCTTCTTTTTGTTTTAATTTTCTTGCCCCACCTTCCGGCGGTGCGTGCTGAATTTGTTTTTTTTCGCGAGAAGGGTCCATCCGTCCCTTTCCCTCGTCAACGGTGCCAACGTCGAAGTTTGGTACTCACGAGAGCTTTTCAGCTCTCCTTTTCGCGATCACTCGCACGTTTGTAAATTTTTCACCCCATGGAGATTCGAACTCACGACTTTGCGACTAGCGCTTTCGAGGTTGCACTTAACCGCCGGGGCAACCGGCTGGTGCTAGAAACAAAAGCATATGTATTAGGTGGATATATATTGTAACACATCCCCTGTAGTTCTCTACTGTTTCAATGACAAAATTATCGGGGAGAAGCCCACCGTCATGTCGAGTGTTATGAAATGTGAACTTCACAGGGAACACGGCGCAGTGTCGTTGGACAGCTTGCTGGTTTATTTACTATTTTGAATCTCTTTGCTTAATTGTTCCGTGTTCTCTTGCCTGACCATCTCACCACAACACTAAGGAACGCACGTGCACGGTAGACAAGCGGAAGCCTGGTGAATCACAACTCGATTCCAGTGACACGGCCATCATCGATGTTTGAGACCCTCTCGACACCCCCCCGCTCGTGCTATGCAAACCCACACTGACTGCTGTGGCACAACAACAGATGCAGCGGGTGGATCCCGACACCGGGAGGCCGAGAGGCTACATGGTGCTCGAGAAGGCGCACAGCCTGTCGCACCGTCTCTTCTACGCCAACGCGAGAAACTACAAGGACTGGCCCAAGGTACGTTCACGGCAGCAGTCAGAGCGTGGTTGGGGAGCGCGAGGCGGTAGTTTAATGCAAGCAACAAATGTGAGCACCCCCCCCCCCCCCCCCCCCCCCCCTTTTCTTCNNCGCCCCCCCCTCCTTCTCTCGCACGTGGCTCTTGGGATGCAGTCCATCCTTGCCCCGACGAGAGGATATATACCCCATGTATGCTAGTCTACCGTGCTTGCTTGGTGACGATGCCCGATGCCCACCCGGTCGTTGAAGAACCACCTTCGGCGGGATGTGAGAGGGTACATGAGTAGTTCCTACATGAGAGCACGGCTGCGAGTGCCCTTGCCCCTCTAGCCAGCTACTTCACGCTTCTCTTTTTGATCCCTCCCGTCTATCTACATCCCCTCCCCCCCGGTGTTTGCCGTCGGGGTTGGGTTTTCGTCGCTTGGCAACGACGTTGTAAAACAAGCCGCCGCCCCCGGTGTTTGCCATCGGGGTTGACTTTTCGTCGCTTGGCAACGACGTTGTAAAACAACCCCCCCCCTCGGCGTAAAATAGTATGGGAGGCATAGTGGACAAACAAAAAGAGGGGTAGACAACCCACGGAATGGGTCAAGGTTGTAGAGGACGTATGGAAGGGGTTAGACATCGACGAAGATGAAACGCTGGAAACGGAGGGTCTACAGGGGTTCAAGGAGAAGATATCTGTTGCTTGTACCGAGAGAGAAGAACAGAATCTAAGGAAAGAAACCGAGGATAAGGAGGGTCTAGAAGTGTACGGAATGTTGAAAGAAGGAATAGGGTTCAAGGATTACCTACATGGACCAATGGATGCAGGGACAACGCTTAAGGTCAAATTCAGGACCGGGGACATAGGCCTTCGAGAACGTCGACGAAGACATAGGACGGTAGACGACGAAGACGACAAGTTCAAATGTGATTGCGGCTTCGAATGCGAAGAACGTGTTCACGTAGTCGCGGAATGTCCGTGGTACGAAGAGGAGAGGGAAGCGTACATGACTGAGCTGGGAAAAATACAAGGGACGTACAGGGAGATGTTTGAGGCATGGAATAGAGAGGAGAGGACGGTAGCTGTACTGGGGAGTAGGAAGTGGTTTGAAAAGGCGGGAAGGGATATCGTTAGGATAGACAGACTAGGGAAGACATTTTTGAGCGACCTTTGGCAAAGTAGGAAGGAACGATTGGCCATCGTTGAGGTCCTGTGGGAACAATGCTCCGTCCTCTCGAGGACGCGTGGTCAATGGTCTAACCGCTAAGGCATGCAAAACATAAGAGTACGCCCCCCCCCCCCCCCCCTCGGTGCCTGCCATCGGGATTGGGTTTTCGTCGCGACGTTGTAAAACACGCCATTTCGCTTCGTGAACTCGGCAACCAGGTTACCGTTTTTTTTTTTACCTCTGTTTTTTTTTTGCGGTAACCATAATGGTGGTCGAGTAGATCATGTTGTGCGGGGTCGAGAACCCTCACTCCGCGCAACGGGGGATGATCGCACCTCGTTGTGTTAAAATGGTCAAGCATCCTCGAGGCAGTTACACAGTGCTTGCAACTGTCTCTGGAAGTGAAAGCACCAGAAAATAAATTAAGTCACACGCAGCTGTCATCCGTACGCAAGGAAGTATGCACAAGATGCCGAACACCCTTAGCAGGATGCAGCGCACCCTTCATGCGACTCGCCGAATACCTCACGGCGCTTCGCGCTTGGTGATGTGAGAGCCTGGTCCGGTGAGAACCCGGCGTGCTCCGTCCCGGCTTTGCAGGGATGCGAGGTCAATGGTCTAACGACTACGGCATGCACGACTATGAGTACACCCCCTCCCCTCTATCTACGAGATACTATACTGCGGCATGCAAAACCATGAGTACGCCCCCGCTCCCCCCCGCCCTCTCTCTCGAAAGGTTGCATCGTGGGTGAACGAGATGATCGAGCTTGCCTGTGGTGAGCCGAAAGAGGAGAACGATGACCTGTCGGGCCTTGCCGGCGGCGACGACGACAATGCATCCAAATGCCCCGCCGCTGCCGCTGCCGCCGCCGACGTGCACGAGTCTCGGAGGGCTCTCCGACACGCGACGACCGTGGCGGAGTTCGTGCCGGCCCTGATGACCCTCCTGCCCCCGGTAAGTGGGGAAGATTAAGACTGTCTCTCGGTGTTGGTGTTGTTAAGCTGCCTCGGACTTGCGTCTCCGGTTCGTCTCTTGCCTTGCCTTGCTTTTTTCCCGGTGGGGGCCTTTTTTTTGGGGGGGAGGGATCTCTTCCTCTGTCTGTCTGTCTCGATGTCTGTCATTCACCATTTCGTCTCGCTCCCGGCATGTCTCCCCCTCTGCCGTGCTCTCTCTCTCTCTCTCTGTTTCTCTCTCTCTCTATCCCACCTTCAGGAGGTGAAGGGCCTCCTCACGACCTTCGACGCACCCGAACACGCGTCGACGTCACTGGAGGTGGAGGACCTGCTCTCCACCACGACGCCGGCGCCGCCCTTCAACGCCACCGAGTACGCGTCCGGCAAGGCCCAAGACGTGCTTGTCCTGCAGGCGATACAGGGCACCGACATATACCGAGAAGTGACCAACGTCGAGCGTAACCCCCGCAGCAGCGACAAGCTCAAGCTACAGCAGGATGAGAACCAGGCCGCGGCCGCCGCCGCCGCCTCGTCCTCTCCCTGTTGTGCCCCGACCCTCCCTTTGCCGGCGGCGGCGCCGCTGCCGCCGTCGCCTCCGGCTGTCCTCTCGCCGGCGTCCGGCGCGCTGTCGTCGGCCTACTCGTTCTGCCCGAAGAAGTCAGGCTGCGGGTGCTCCTGGCGACACGAGGTGTCCATCGTGGCGTACGCGTTGCTGCTGCTCTTGCACAAACGGGACGATCACGGCGAGGTCTGCGGCGGCGGCGGCGGCGGCGTTTCGGGGGCGGGGGCAGGGGGGGACATCCGACCGCCCCCGCTCTGGCGCAAGGACCCCCTTCACCAGCTGCCCGCGACGGTTGCCATACAGGCCAAGCACGTGGCGGGGATGCTCGTGGGGCTGGTGGAGCTAGAGGAGTGCGAGAAGTGCAAGGCGCGGTGAGGGTTTTTTGGGGGGGAGGCGTGCTTCGAGCGGGGGCTCCGCGCAGCAGCAGCGTGGCTGGGGCTAAGAATCTGTCTAGAAGAGAGATATGAGCCAGATACCCCCCGCGCTCTCTGTTTTTGCACGGCAGGGTTTTATAGGCGGGATTGTTATATAGGATATTCCGCTTTAGTGGCATTGTTAGGTCAGCCCGGTTTAGTTCTTCCCGCCCCCTTGGAGATAATTGGATTATTTCGATCCCAAGGATTGGTTGCGGGGTTTTCTTGCCGGGCTTGCACATGTCACAACCAACCCCCCCCCCTCCCCGGTATACGGTTTTCTAAGTCAGAGGTGTGATGATGGAGGGGTTTCTCGCTGAGAGAGGTCGGGGGGCGGAGTCGAAAGTCTCTCGTAGAGACGGAGAGCGAAGGAAGAGAGGGAGAGGGAGAGAGAGAGAGAGAGAGAGAGAGAGAGAGAGAGAGAGAGAGAGAGAGAATTGGGCCGTGCCGTGCTTTCATGCGGGTGAGAGAGAGAATTGGGCCGTGCCGTGCTTTCATGCGGGTGTCAGAGGAAGCTTGGTCGTTGCCCGACGGCTGGTGGTGTTTTTTTCTGCGTGGTCATAGGCGTTAGTTCGTATTTTTGCAAATAGACGTGTGTATCGGGTCGATTATATTTCCGTATACCTTTTGTGGGTAAGTTTTAGCCTGTGACCACGGGAATCGACCCCGTCAAGTGTTTGACAAGTACGGACAGAAGAAGGTACTGGGTAGAGAGAATGGAACGGTTTTAACGTGAAGAAAACAACAACAACAACAACAACAACAACAACAACAACAACAACAACAACAACATAGTGTATATTATACGCTCCTCACCGTTAGGAGGAGTTGCGATTTTTGCTGCGTGTGTTCATGTCTCGGGAGCGGTTTGCAACGCCTTACGGCACTCCCTTCACGTTGCGCACAAAAGACGGCGCAGCAGCTCATTTCAGGTTTCCAACTATTTTTTGTGAGCTTTGTGCTGGAGGGACCAGTTTGGCCTACCTTCAGGCCACCTCTTGGGGCCGGCAATTTTTTTATGTCGGCGCCTGAAAAAAAAAAAAAGAGGAAAAACTCCAAGGCTTTGGCGCGATTTCTTCATGGCAACGGCAGCATTTCACACCCCGTTTCTTGCAGGAGTTGCCCGAGGAGGTGGACGAGTTGTACTATCTCGAAACTTGCATTTCTGAGAGAGACGTCCGCTGTTTGTAGGGTCTTTCTACCACGCTGCCGCTGTCGTTGGCCAACAAATCTTTGAATGACTGCTGCTTGCTGCTGTAGGATTCCGAAGAGGGTACAGCAGTAGCTGCACTTATCAGCAGCAACAGCCGGCCGCAGCCAGGGAGAGAGAGAGAGGAGGTAATTTCCTACACGCACGCGTGGTTTCCTTGCGTTTGTTAGAGCACATAGTAGGTGCCGCCCCGGTGGAAAATCATCCAACGGAAAAAGTAATGGCAGCACCAGCAGCAGCACCAGCAGCAGCTGCCGTCCGTCACAGCACAGCGATGAATCCCAAAAACCACACACGTTGCGAGGAATAAACCTCACAAGTGCTCTTCTTGCTTGTGGTTTCATCAGCGATCGGTAAAACATGGCTGCATCGGTACAGCACGGCTGTATCTGTGTACATTGACGTGACACATGCATGAGATACAAGATAGTTGGATTCGAGGGCTTTTTCCCTGGTTCTTATGTCTACACAACTTCTCATCAGCGACCTCTGGCTCTGCTGGGTAACTCCATACACACCCAACACTCCCTCTCCTACTCCTCTGTTGGTCTTGGGGCTGTTCATCTGTAGTGTGAGGCCGCAATCTGCAGAGTACAAGTAGCGTTCACTCTTTCCGTCACTTTTACCGACGGAAATGTCGAAAAACGTCACGGAACCACAGAAAGACCCAACATAAAAAAAAATTGCCTTTTCCCTCCAGGCTCCGGGTCCCCCCCCCTCCCTCTCATTTCCGTTGTAGAGAATTCAGAATAGGAACGTTGTTCAATTTTTGTCCGAAGTATGTACTAGGTTGTTTTTGTGCTTGTTGCATCAGTTCTGGGTGCGTGCGTCGACGTGGCTTGAACAGAGCTCTGTCGCCGCTCTAGGGCCCGCGTCTGTCGCCCCTTCTAGTTTCGGCGTGGTGTTCCCCTGTAGACGTTTTTCTTTTCCCGACCGCGGCGTCGGCGTTCACGCCTACCTCGTACCTTCGTTCGCGGAACCAAGTTTTGGGGTCTGGGTATATTTGTGTTATATTCTGGGTATATTTGTGTTATATGTGTTCCTGTTTCGCCCTCCGACGGACAGACGGGAGAACGCTCATACTCCACTAAGAGTGAAAGGCCACGGACCTCTCTTTTCTTCTTTTCGACCCGATACATCGGAGATGTCAGCGCGTTCGTCCAACGGTTGGGTTTGCCCGCTAACAAAGACAACACGGACGATCACCCCGCGTGACGATGGGAACATTCTGAATTCTAAGCATAAGCAGCACCAACGGCGATCGATCGATCTCGTTGACTCGCTGGGTGTCATGTGCGGGTCCATTCCATTTAAAGTTCGGTCTCTTGAGAGCTCCTTCGATCCAGTCACCCTTCGGGAAAACGCCCCTCCTGGTGTTTGCAGTCAGTCGTATTATTCGGCATTCGCAAGCTACCCCCCTCATAGACCGGCGGCGTGTCTAAAATTGTCGGCCCAGACCACACAGTCCATGCGCACCGTCACACATTACATAAATAGTCGTTCTTAGGTCTGCTATAAAGAGACCTGGAGGTGGCGAAGACAACAGCGGGGTGGGGAGCGCCAAGCGCACAACGCGGGTCCGTGCCGAGGTCAGGCACCAACACGAGGTTAAGCACACCAGCGGCAGTGCACAAGGTCGGGTAATCATGTGTGTATGTCTACGTACGTACTAAGGGTGAGAGTTGTTAGGGTTTATTGCCAACCGTAACCATTAACCCTACGCGGTCGTGTGTATGTTACGCACGGCCTCTACCCTCAACAATACAACAAGTGACCAAGTGAATCGGTGGCAACACCGTGCAATCTCTTCCGCACCAAAGAGAGAGTCTCTTCCCCACCAGAGAGGGAGAGTCTCTTCCGAGAGAGAGCCCTATGCGCAAAGCCCCAACGTCAAAACTACACGTGAACACACAACAAGCACCGTGTGTGATGATGTGTTGCAGAATATAACCTGATTCCCATGACACCCCCCCGCCTCCGAAACAACCATGTACGTATCCGAGACCACTCCCTCACGGTGATATTCTACAAGTAAGTGCAGCCTTCTCTGGATCTCACGCGTATCTAAAGCACTTCAGTAATAGGTAACACTCGCCCTAGCAGAACCCCTCCACGTACCCCCGCCGAGGGGCCTTCTAAACAAAGCCCTAACAGTATTGACTCGGAGGGGGGTATGTACTGAGTTCTTGGGCTGTAAAGAGCCAAACTGAGGCGACGAGCTTGACACCCCTGCAACGTGAAGTGCATGCTTCTACTCTGTTGCACACCGGGGGCAGCAGGGGCGAAACAAGACCTTTTTCGCCTGCTGCAGCGAACAATTCTATTGGTTCGTGGTAGGACAACATCGTCACAGGACACCCCCCCCCGCCGATAGAGAATGGAGAGTACGGCGGGGAGGCAGTTTAGCCTACCTAGCGTAACGATACTCCTAAAATAAACGGGTCATAGCTCTTTTTTTGAGGAACCTCCTCCCATGTCGGCGATAAACTTGGGCACCTCCGTGAGCAGCCGGGTCGCTCGTCGCGCCATGGGCGAAGATGCGAACGATCCCGGCGAGCTAACTCTCATGGTTGCCATCGACTTCGTCGGACTCAACGTCAATTGCGTGACCCCGTCAGCGGCCCGTCCTCCGTCCGCCCCAACCCCCTTGTCCCCGCCCCCGCCCCCCCCCGCCTCGCCGGCACTGAGCAAATTTCGGCGGTTCTCCTCTTCCTTCTGCTCCTTACGCTCGGTCTTGATCTGCAACACCCTCATGCTGTCGCTCATTTCGCTCCCGAGGCGCTTGAGCGCCTTCTTCTCGGTGACCACCTTGGTCGAGCCCATGAGCTCCACGGCCTTCTTGCTCGTTCGGGTGTTGGCCGGCAGAGCTTCCCTCGCCTCCGTATTCAGTTTCTCATCGCCCACCATCTCCAACGCCTGTTGTTGGGTTTCGAGCGAGAAAATGGGCTGAGACAGGCGTAGTATGCAAGCAGCTCAAAGTTCGACTGCACACGAAGGCACGCTGTTCAGGTTGAGAAGAAGGGCGTTAAAATAACCTATCGACACGGTTCTTGCCGTTGCCAAGTAAGTACGTTTCAGGGTGAACGGATCGTATCGGAAATCTTTCCTCCTTGCCACGATTGCTTACTGCAGAGTTTTGCCCATATCTATCTGAGCGTTTCGTGTGCGGCTTGCGGCAGTTCACAGAAGAACCATGCTCCTCGTCTTCGATGCCCGATGACCCCCCCCCCCCCTACGAAAGACGAGATTCGGGCGTGCTACCTCCGTCCCGGCTTTGTAGGGATGCGAGGTCAATGGTCTAACGACGACGGCATTCATGGCTATGAGTACACTCCCCCGGTAAGAAAGCCATAATGGCAGTACCGTATGCACGATATGGGAGAGGAGAGGTTGCCGAAAGTAGCCCGGGAGGCGGAATGGGAAAACTAGTCAAGGGGTAGACGACCCACGGAGTGGGCTAAGGAAGTATGGAAGGGGTTCGAAATTGACCAAGTTGATACAGTGGAAACGATAAGCCTAGAGGGGTTCAAAAAGGAGATATTGTATCCGTTGCTTTTACCGAGAGAGAAGAGCGGAATCAATCTGCGGAATGGAAGCAAACCACGAAAAAGGAGGGTCCAGATAGATGTGTACGGAATGGTAAAGAAGGAATAGGTTTCAAGGATTACCTACATGGGCCAATGGATGCAGGGACAAAACTGAAGGTCAAAATTAGGACTGGGAACAATGGCCTTCGAGAACGAGGGGAAGATGTAGAAAAGTAGGCGAAGACGACAACAGCTTCAATTGTGAATCTCAACTCTGAGTGCAAAGACCGGGCTCGTGTAGTTGCACAACGATGCCCATTTTACGAGAAGGAGAGAGACATGTACTTGACTGAGCTGGAGGAAGTTACAAGATGTTTGAGACATGGAATAGCCAGGAAAGACGATAGTTATATATACTGGGGGTGTAAGAAGTGGGCTGAAAAGACGGGAAGTGATGATAGGAGATAGGCAAGACGTGTTTCAGCACCTTTGGCAAAGTTGAGAGGAGCGATGGGCCGTAGGTGATCGGTCCTTCCTGTTGTAACAAATCTCCGTCCTCTCGAGGACGCGTGGTCAATGGTCTACACAGCAACTAAGGCATGTCAAACATGAGTACACCCCCCCGCCCACCCCCCAACAATTATGCCCGTCCCATGATGCACCTTGGGCTTAAGGTTGGAATAGTCCACTCGCTCCGTGAGGGGACTTTGCATGAAGTTGGTCTCTCCAAGGAGATACACCTTCCCCTTGTCCCGCGGCCGCGTCTTGAGGGCCTGTAGGTCAGTGGCCTCTACGGTGGTGAAGGAGAACTCCTCCATCAGAAGCTTCACGATGAGGCCGTCCTGGTCCACCTCGCCGTGCTTCGCCCGGAGCACCTCGATCTCTTCCGCGAATCGCTGCTCGTCGCATCATGGTCGGTCGTAGCATGTACGTACGTGAACGCGAAACAAACGTGGTTGGTTGTGGACGCATATACATACAGTAGTAAGATAAAGACATCAACATGATGTAAATTTTGCCTGTACTTGCACGGGTAACCACCATGTCCTCCGGGAAAGGGATCATAAAGCGCCATTCGCGGGGCGAGGCGGGGCAAGACGGTACGCAGGTCGGCGGGTAGGCTGGCTGGCGCTCAGGCTGAGAAGAAGACAGCCAGAGAAGCTGTCTATACGGACACGATGCCGTTTAAGATTTTGGAAGCCGAGTACTCCCAGCACACACGCTTTCATTCGTGGTCACCATGCTGCAGGAATATTGAAGAAGTCAACGTGCGGTGCGCGCCCCCAAGTCCATGTGTGCGTGTTTTTATTGTTATTGGCATCGACCGCGCTAACCGGCTGACCAATGAAAAGACGTCAGTCTCAGAGCGGTTGAAAACACAAAACACTTCTAGATGCCTGCTATGAACTGGGACCCCGTGAGGGGGCGGCATGGGGGAGACTAACGTATTCTCCGGATCAAAGACGGAAACGGTCGAAACAGAAGAAAACTGCACACGTCTACAAAGGCTGCTACCTTGCACTCGAGTTCGTTTTGGAGTGCTTCCACCGTCATCCTTCTTCCTTCCAACTCCATCGTTCTCATGATCGTTTTCACAGCAACTTCTCGACATTTCTTCTCTAGCCCTGCGTCGTTTGTGGTGGGGAAGGTCTTCTGTCTCGTAGTGCTCTGATGAAGTACTGCTGTGTACTCCACGACAGAAGAAGCTAACGAGAGACAACCCAGGGAGACAACCCCGAGGGGAGGACCCTTTCTTGCCGAAGCGGGGGCTATGTACGGCTGTACCCTGGTGGCGTGCCATCTCAAAATGGTAGGGTATTGGCCCCCCTTTTGGCGCGGAATGGGGGAACTGGCAACACTACTATGACATACACATACGGTGGTGATGATATGTAGGAAGACGAACAGTCTGCAATGCCAAATAGGCGGGCTAAAAGCTAGAGGGTTGTAATGCGTTTACATACACCGACTGATGCTGCATGTAGTGACACAGAACAGGTCGTTTAGTCTCAGTCTAGTCGATCGCAAATAAATGTAGACACGCAAGCAAGGTGTGGATTTCGCGGGTCTGGCATGGTATATGGTAAGTACCAAACAAGCTGCACTACTGTAGATTTTAGCAAACCGCGCAACAAACCAACGATGATCGGAAAATCAATGATGATCCAACTTCAAAAATGGCAGCAATACATTCTGTATACTGTAGTTTAATAAGACCACAGTCTAGAATCGGACTTCAAACAATACAACCGAAGGACCCCAACTGAGACCAATCCCTTGGAACCTGGTCCTATCAACAGGTATGTAGTCGGTAGGTGTTGTCGGCTTACGTTTCGAAGGTGATCCAGCATTTCGCGGTACTGACATCCTGTGGCGGAGATGCTCCCGGCAGGGCGACTTTGTTTGTGTCTGGGCGAAGCTAGTTCTTCGGCAACCGAGGCTCCCGCCCCCATGGCACTGCGGCTGGTGAATCGCCAAACCTTGGCAAGCGGGCGAGTGCTTGCTACAGCATCCAGTTACAAAACCTTTTCCGCCAAACCACGACCCAGTCCGTGTCGAAAGCTACAGTAGTCTGCTCAAAAAGAGAGGGACTAGTGCCGACAGCAGTCTCTTGGTAAGACCTGTCATCTATCGACACGCCCTTCCCTCTGGCGCTGAAGGCGTACACGGTCGCAACATAAAAGAACGGTCCTCAGCGCACACGTAAAAAGAGCGGCCCTTTCATTAGGACCGACGGCACACTTTCCAGAGAACGGATTCCTTTGATAATGTTCATGTTTTCTACAAGAACATGAGAGAGCGGCCCAATAAACCAACCGAACCTCGTCTCTGCGCCCCTACTTAGCATATATACACCTGCATACAATCACTGAAAATATTATCCGTTCGAGATAATTAACCGTACTGGTCTTCTCTCACGCTGTAACTACTTCGTCGAACCGCAACAAAAAAATGACGGTTTCATTCTTTCTTATTTTCCTACATGGTAGTCTACAGAGTAGATTTAGCGGGGGAATGTCCCACAGTCGTCTTCTCTACTTGTCTACAAGTATTCACTCATCACAGAGGCAAACCATGCTCTAGACACACAGGGCGGCCAACCGTTCGACTCGCCGTTAGACTACTACATTTGAAGGAAACAGACGGGTAAAAAAGGTACTACCGTAGGTATCCCTCATGGTGTTGAAGGTGCCGTACAACAATAATATTTTTAGATCCGACGTTCGACGTTTTGAGAGTTGTTGGGGTTCTAATCTTTCTTCAAATCAACGCTCCAGTCACGCTGCCGTTGTCACTTACCGCACACGAACGATTGAGGTTCTACAACACCACTGCGGTAGCTTCCACTCCTATGCGCGACTTGTAAATGCATGCCTTGACCACACACATCACACACACGAAGATCACGACAGATTCATCTATCTCCGTTTGATTCCTACAGCAGTACGCGCATATGCAGACATATAGTAAAACCTACTCCGTACTTCAGCAGTACTTCATTATATCGTACAGACATACAGTAAAACCTACTCCGTACATTACAGCCGATGATGGATGACCCACACCGAGAATAAGAAACGGGCCTCGGGCAAAGCAAGAAGATCCATACTATTGTACAATACGAAATAAAGTGGTGGCTCCTTCTGTTTATCGTTTCTACAGCCAGCAGTGCTAGGCAAGACTTACACGTGACACAAAAAGTACGGCTACAGTATAACACAGACGGTTCTTCTGCTGCACTTTCCCTCTGTAGGATTCAAAAGCGGACTTACTCTTCTTCCTTTGTTTGGGTGAGCTGTTGCGTGTCGTGGGTTCATGACTAACGACAGATAATGTTTTCCGTGTGTGCCATTGAAAAGTACGTTCGTTCTTCACCATATGTTTTTTTTCTACGAGGGGGGAGAAAAAGCTTACATTCATTTGCATTCATTCATGTAGGCAACCGCAGGCATCTGATGCTGCCGATAGAGCACTTTGTTGCAGCTAAACAAAAAACATGTTGCTCTCAATCGTGAAATGAACGGCCCTTCCTTTGCAATGTTCTCGCCCCCAGCCGGGTGTAAAGCCAACACACAAGCATGCTATTTTTCGTGTAACAGAAGGAATCTTGAGGGCGAGGGCACGTAAAGGGGCCACGCGAGACAGAAGGAAGGTGTAATAACCCGCCACCTAGAAGGCACCATACACCGACCCATCTCCTTGTCACCAATCACCAGAAAAAAAAACACCGTCGCTTCTCATTCTGCAAAAGCTGGTGCCATGCCATGGGCAGTAAACTCGAGGTCTTCCCGACTCGAAGGGATGTACGTTTTCGGCGAGAGGGTGGAGGGAAACCTGCCGCTGGATGATGATGCTGGACACGTTTTTCTCTTTCCTCTATCTAGTGTTGAAGCGCCACTCTTGGCTCTCAAGGAGCGCCAACACCACACCGCCGCCTCGCAAGCCTATACATCCAGAGGCGATACGACTGGCGGCTTTTCGTGCCGGTAGTCGACGTCGGCACGAAAGAAATCAACCTCCCCCGCGCAAACGAAAAGAGTAAAAACAAAAAACCATGACATGTACCCAAGCACAACCAACGTTACTACTGCGCTCGCTCTCTCCCCTACAGCAGTAAACCGCAAACAACACGTGCACCTCACAGACAAAACAACTCGAAAGAACAAACTCATACACACACAAGACACGAAGCCTACCCACCGCTCCCATTTCTCCTGGCCTATCTCTGCCCCGCTCTCCCCAAACACGAAGCTGCCGAGCTCCGCGCTATCCGACCCAGAGATGAGAGACGAGGGATACCGTGGGACCTTGTAAAAGGAGGAAACGCGAAATCCCTTTTCATCATGCACGGCTGGAAAAAACTAAGAAAGTCAAGTTTACTGACGACCCTCTTCACGGCCACACGTAGATAACCCTTCCTCCTGCTCTCTCTGATTCTTGCATCCAACGCGCATGTCTATCGTGTGTGAGACGATGACAATATACTATCTACTTTGGAGCAAAAATCTCATGTACAAGTACACCGCCGCCGCCTGCTGCCGGCAAAAAAAAGAAGGCGCTTTTGGCCTCACGTGGCGTTCCGGTCGATCGTCGTTTCGTCAGCAGTACGGTAAGCTAAAAAGAGACGTGTGAAAAGAAACCTTTGAATCTGACTGGAAAACTGGAAAGTAGGTTTGTAGCATAAGCAGCAGTACTCCACCAGCAACTCTCTCCTCTCTGCCCGTCTTAAAAAATCCAATCCTCTTCTTCGTCTACACCTCCGCCGGTGCTGTCACGCGTACCTCCCCAACCTCGCACACAAACGAGATAATCGGTCAAACTTACGCAACCACCAACATCGCGTCTCTCGGTCGTCTCCAACTCCAGCCCTGCCCCCTCCCGAGCAGTCATCCGTATGCCAAGGAAGTAAGCACAAGATGCAGAACATCCGTACCAGGATGAAGCGCACCTTCCATGCGACTCGCCGAATACCTCACGGCCCTTCGCGCTTGGCGATGTGAGAGCCTGGTCCGCCGAGAAACACACGGCGTGTTATCTCCGTCCCGACTCTGTAGGGATGCTAGGTCAATGGTCTAACGACTACGGCATACACTGCTATGAGTACACCCCTTCCCGAGCCGTCCGCGCTGCCTTACTTCGGGTCCAAGCTCACGATTCTTCTCGAGCCGCCGTTGAGCGGTCCCCCAATGCCCACCGCACCCACGGACGGACTGCTTGCTGACCCATCCGTGTGTGTTTTCGACGCCACATCGCGTAAAACCTGCTAATACAGTAGATACCAACATGCTCTCGGCACACCACGAGGAAAGCTGGCCGGCGGTGTTGGAAGACCACCACAGACTGCTGCTGCTGCTGCTGCTGCTGCTGCTGCTGCTGCTTGGACGGGAACCGCAACTAGCTTGTTCCGAGCTTCGCCGTCGTTCGAGCAAATACAATTGCGACCGTCGTCCGTCCGTGCCGTCCGCCGTCTACGTACGCCCCCATGAACTAAGGCCGGGAGGCCCCGATGCCCTCTCTCCCCCAAAATATCTGTCTGCACCGAAGAAGGTACTGGATAGAGACATCGGGACGGTTCTTAATGTGAAGACAACAACAACAACAACAACAACAACAACAACAACAACAACAACAACAACAACAACAACAAAACTCTTTTGCTCCCTCCGGGAAGGAAACCCCCACGCTGACGAAACAACCTACCCTCCTCCTTCCCCCCCCCCTCCTCCCGCCGCCGGCAGCCACACCGTTGCCGGGGGGAACCGACCCCATCACAAGGCCGAGATGAGTCTCTCGATGCTCGCAACGACCTTTGCCATGGACGAGTAGTCTCCGCCGCAGCCCGCGCCCTGGCC